GTCAGATTCCATTTGCCGCACGGTGCTGGGACTTCGCATTCTGAGTGTTGGTGTTGGTCGGGTTTCTGCGCTTTGCTTTTGAGGTTGTGAGATGGTTTGACGTTCAGTTTGGTTTGATTTCAGGCCTTTCCGCACAACTTGTTGCCAAGGTCTGCCCAACCCCTGGCTTTGAAGGATTGGTTGCAAGAGCACTTTGGGCTCGGGGCCTCAACGAAGCCTCATGCCCATCCATGCCCACTCGCCAATACTCGCCATGTATGAAAATGCACTTTGCATCACTTTGTCCAAGGCACCTTCCCATAGTTTGCGATGAAGGCTGGATGACCAGCTAGACTCAGCTAGACGTCATTGGGAAACACAGGAGTTACCTTTGGCATGGTCCATCGACTCGACCGCCAGAACCTTAGATATCTTGGTCGGGGAGAACCGGGTCGTCATTGCATGTCATTGCAAAGGTTTTACATCGGGCGCATTGTTGTGGGCACCTTGCTTGGTGCTCAGCGTGCGCATCAATGCTTTGTTACTTCAGCTTGAATTGGAAGGTTACAGGGGTTTGTATGAAGCGCGGCTTCAGTTCCCGGCTCAGGGTGAGTCATTTTGTGCCAAATCACGCAGCATCCACGGTCAGATTGCAAGGTTCTCAGCAAGGAAGGCGAACTGATGAATCGAGTGTCGATTCCCGGGGGGGGGCAGGGCGGCCCACAAATTCCTCCATCCGTGGGCAAGCATTCGACATCTCGCAGGTCTGCAAAGAATATCTTTGCCTTGTACGAGGTTGGCCCAACAGCAGCGGAATATAGCGGAATTCTCAAAATTTGGACCGCGCCCACAGGACACTTGAAGAATGAGCTCCCATTTATGATCAAGGCGAGAAATAGTAAAGATGTTCAGAAAGTGTTGTGGACGCAACCCAGGCACCCATCTTGGAGACCGAGCGGAAACCTCAATGATTCAGTGTTTGCAGTCCTTGCGTTTGTGGACCTGGCCGAGGTCAGAGATGGGCATGGCAAGAAGTATCGTGTCCGAATTGGGCAAAACGGCAATGACAGAGGTGCTGATCCAGCACAAAATGATTATTGACTGATATTGCCCAAAGATGCATCAGTTTTTTGCATCAGAACAACGATACACATGCACATGCAATGCAATCGATGGAGGTGATGGAGGGCGTGAACTTTGTTGATGTGGAAGGTCAACACATGAGCATGCTGAAGGCACGCTGGAGTCAGTAGAATCACGGGTGCACGTTCATTTTGCAGGTACGCATCCACACAGGCTGGTTGTCGCAAGAGTACCAGTCCTTTTGCAAGACATACCAGTGCATCGAAGGACGCACACACCAAATCCGATGCCATTTGAGCCATGAGGCCGCCAGTTTGTTGGAAGCGCTCGGTTGTTCCTCGCGGCGACATCAGGGGCATCCGCTGGTTGGCGACCCTGTTTATGGCGGTCCAACGCCGCCCTGGTGCAGCAGGCATTGCACGGTTTGCTAGGATTTGGCCAAATCTTGGAATGTTCAGGCATTGGCTGCATGTGAGTTCCTCAGGCAGAAATGCCACGGTTTTTGCGTGCACTGCCAACCCAGGCTTGGAAGTTGAGTCTCGTAATGAGTTCTGGCCAAGTGGAGGTGAAGGTGCGCTTGTAAGCATGATCGTGTGACAATACAAATTCTAGATGGTCGCGTACTCTCGACATAGTTTGTATGACGCCCATTTTTGAGAGGTACCTTTGCCATCAGATTTGCGGGGAACGCTGGAAAGGCGTTATATTTTTTAGGCATGCGACATGCAGTGCGTTGTTGGTGATATCGTACATTTTTCGAGTGATTTGGCATTGCAGGCTACGTCCGGCCCAAGAAAATGAGGCGCAAAGGCTGGGTGCGCAATTCCTAAAAGATCTAACCACATATCCATTTTCGTCCACAATTCCCGACCAGGCTTAGCACTTGGGGTTTGTGAGTGCAAGAATGTCTGCTTTGCATCGATTCCGCCAAGCGATCGGCAAAATTAAACGAATTTGCACGTTGGAAGACTCTGAATTCGCCATGAGATCGTTTTGTGGCTTTGGCGTATTACCAAACATGATCAAGGTCTATGGAATCAGGCAGCGGATTGTAAAGTGCAAATCTGCATTGAAGGTTGCATACCAACCACCGCCGATGTTCCATTGGAGCAGAAATAAAGAGAATAGGAGAGTGATTTGAGTTTGCATTTGTTAGTTGAAAAGCCACGGATGATCAAGATGGACATCATTTGGTTGATATAAGCTGGTTCAATCCTAGGAACCGTTCTGTGGGATTTTGCTTCAAGTGTGTTTGCTTTTCTTAACATTGCCCACTGACCTTGCCACATAATTCGGCAACACAAATTGTATTCTTCACAACTTGGTTGTGTGATGAAAGTGGGGGTAGCTAATTGTGTTTTGCATCTTGGTGACATGTTACGTGTTAGTGCAGAGCAATAGATCGGTTTGCAAGGTATTTCATGCCATTTCATGCGACGTGTATTTTTTGCACGTGGCTCCAGAAGCTTGTGCAGCAAAGCACTGCCGGGGGGAGCAATGCTGGTCTTCTGCTCCCAGCTGGAGGCTGGGCTTCAGCTGAGCATGGCAACGGCGAAAGGAAACTGTTTGCCATATTGGGGCAACAGAAACTGTTTGCGTGCTTACCAATCGACATCAGAAGCTTCCAAAGCACGCGGAAAACAAACTCAGCGGCAGGCCGGCACCAGCCTGGGCCGATGATACCGCCCCGAGGCCGGCAAGCAGCAAGCGCTTTTCTTGGGATGCTGAGCCGAGGTTCGCTCCGCTATGGTGACGGGAGCGACTTCAAAAATGGTCTCAGGAGCTCCGAAATGGGCCGTCGGGCACGCGTCACTCAGAGCCCAGAGCCCCACAGAGTCCCACAGAGTCCCACAGAGTCCCACAGAGTCCAGAGTCCCATGAAAGGAGATCTGTCGGCCTTGATTTGGGGCCGCAGCCTTACATGCATGGAGGTGGATTGAGACAGATCCATGCTGAAGGCGGCGGCTTCTGGTGGTTCTCAAGTCACAGACGTAAACCCGGCCTGGAAAGAACTGCTCAGTTTGTCGTGCTGAAGCGACTAGGCTAGTTTTGCGCTTGGCAGGGCTGATGAGAAACCACAAGAGCAGCACTCAGTTGCTCACAGCACCTCACCACGGCTGTCAAACATCAATCGCAGGCGATCAGGGTGGTAGACCATGGAGAACAGCAAAAGGAGGCAGGCTGATGGAATGATTCAGTCAAGCTGTACGCATTGCAGGCATTGAGGCGTCTGTTTGATGCCCAAGTGTTACTCCAATCTTACGAGGCCCATGCGCATTGGACATCACCAGTGTGAGTTTGTGTGTTTTGGTTTGTGTTGCTGGCTTCCCAGGAACAGCTCGCAGCCAGGGATGGGCAGCTGCAAAAAGTTATGGTCTTTGTGAAGAAGGACCTTTGAGCTAGGAAGATCATGGGGACAAAAATTCAATCGCGCAGGCTATTCGTTCCAATGGCGACTTGCGAGATCCAGCGCTCATCCAGTAGTGCCCTCAAAACGAGCATTTCGTGTGTTTTTTGGGCCTGCGAGTTGCCTCAACCTGACGGTTCGGCAGGGCCTTGGGCTTGAGCGAAGCGGAACTTCAGGCGCTGTCGGGTGTCGCGCAAGTTTCGCTTCCGGCGGTCGCTTAGCGGCTTCATGAGAGTTGCACGTGGGAAAGGAAGAAGGCATCACCGCCACGGAATCGAGGCCTGCCGGCAAGAAACTTGAGGCCGGGGTTCGCGGAAATCCGTATGCCTTTGGCATTGCTTCAGGCTATGGCGGATAAGAGTTTCGAGCAGCTAAAGTGGGAGGAGCAGCAGGACCGGGAGAGGAAGGCAAAGGAGATGGAGGCAAGTTGCATGTGAAGTCTTTGAAGTGCACAATTTCACTGTTGCCAGGCCACTGGCGGGCTGGGACAAGTCTTAGAACCTCCCAGTGCCTGGTTTGCACATATGGTTGACGTATGTCGTCCTGCGTGTCACGGCCTTGGAGCCTTGCAGGCGACCTGCAGTGGTTCAAGGTCCCGTATTGGCTGAAGTCGGACGAAGAAACCAGGCCAGATTCGCATGGATTGATTTGTGGTTCGCAAAGCTTTAAAGCACTCGATCAGGGCCGTCATCCACAATATCAAGCAGCACTTCGTTGACGAAATGAATGCCAAGGTTGTTGAGCGTTTTTGTTTGCGAATGTCGATTCTTCGCGGTCAGGGGCACTTTGACCACAATTCCTTCCAGGAACATTTGTGGCAGGCGCGCTTTCGGCAGTTGATGTTTGTCGTTGCATGCTTTCCCATGACCAGAGCAAACCGAGTCAGAGTTGTGCCTCAGTGTGGTCTTCAAATTGCTCTACATTGGGCGGGCTCTCCAAACGAGGAGCTGATCAAACAAGCTGAGGCCAGCAAAGCACTGGTTTTCGCAAAGGTTGCATATGAGGAATGCAAGACGCAACATTCCACATTCGTCCAGATCGTGCAACTGCCGCACCCCTCGCTGTTTTCATTTGCTTCCTTCTTGATGTTGCTCAGGCTGCTGAGCAGAAGGCAAGGGCTGTCCAGCGCCAATCGCTTCAGGCAGGTCTGCAGTTGTTTTGTTAATGTTGCTTGGACCGCTGGCAACAAGCCGTTTGCAAAGGAGACCTCCATGCTTCGGCAACACATCAAGCGAGTAGAGAGGAAGTGCGCTGGAATGGACAACACATGCATTAAATACAGGTCATCCGTCTGCAACTTCAGGTACAAAGAGCTACAAGGCAACGTTGCAAAAATGCAGAAGGCAATGTCCACAATGGCGAGCCAGCTCAAAGAGGCGCCTTGGCTTCCAAGCGCATTGCTCGCCTTGTCGAGTAGTTCGGTTTCACCATGGGTTTCCGAGAACCGCGTCTCGGGTTATCTGATGCAAGAAGGCCCGAGACACGGCGGCGATGTTTGGCGTGGAGCTGCCGCACCCAGAAGGGGAGGGCCATGGTGGCCATGGTCGCAGATCCTCCGCGGTCCGCCCCCTGCTGTCAGGTCCTTGTCCTTGTCCTTGGCTCCTGTCAGCTGTTCAGCTTCACTCGCGCGCTCATGGCTCCTGTTTCATGAAAACAGTATTTGTGCAGTTGGCTCTAGCTTCAAATATTTGCGTGATCCTAGTGTTGAAACCAATGGTACAAGCAGAAATACAGTTCTGGTCAAAAATCAGTAGTGGGCCATGTGGTGTTCAACAGTTTGTTCTGAAATGACCAACTCGCAACAGACATCGCAACTTTCACTTGGGCAATGGATTGACTTCCTCGGTCAAGCAAATCCTGCCGGTGACCAAGTGACTGGAAACTGTTCGTTTGCTTGTCCGCTTCATTTGCGTGCAAGGTGCGGGATGAGTGAGGAGGTCCTTGGAACTTACCCTCACTATGTTCGCAGATGCCAACTGGGAGGACAGCCATCCACCTACCTATGTGCGAGTAAAATTCCTTGGTGAAGGCACGCCATGGCATTCTAGCTGGATGCTCTCCACTGACTATCAGCACCTTCAGGCTACCAATGCGCGAAGAAAGTCCCTCTGAGGGGCACCTTCAAGGATGTCAAGGTCAGGAGCCTTGAGGCGCTCTTCATTTCTGAAAACACGGAAAGGTCATTGAAGAACATGTGCTTTTTCAGGAACTGCAGAATGAAGTGGAGCAATGGCTGGGTACCAGCGGCGGCTGGATGCTGGGAACAGCTGCCAACTGGGAGTTGAAGGAGGAGGCCCTGCAGAGGCCAAGTTCCTCCAGGTGCCAAGCGACAGCAAGGACATACCTGTCAAGGGCATGTCACAGGTGTGTCAAGCACGCCCTTTTCTCGGCGAATGGGCATGTCCTTCAGGTGCCCTTTGGTCGTGCACGTTTGGAACAGTCAGGACTGGATTTGTTATGTCTACTCTGTTGCTAGACTTGTGCTGAATCCTTTGGTCAGAAGATGCTTCTTGACGAGCTGGCAGCGCTTGGTGCCAAAATAAGATCCTTCGAATCGGATACTCGGAATGCAAGCAAGACAAGGGAAGTCACACGCTGTCATGATCATTATTTTGCTGACGCTGGCTTGACTCCACTGCCCTCCCTCATCATCGCCAAACATTAGATTTTGCAGTCAATTATCACGATGACATTTATGGCCCAGAGGTTTCATGAGTCAGATGACTTGCAACATGTTGCTGTACAATCAATTCAATGCCCAAGCATGACATGATCACATGTCGCTTTGGCTCAAGTGCTGAAAAGAGCGCGTTGCTCGCGCTTCCCACAAGGTTAAGGGAGAGGTCGCAGTCACGGAGGGGTTCGTTCCTTTTAAGGTCCCGGGTTCCCCCGTTGTTGACAAAACTGTGTTTCCCTCTCCTTTGAGTGGTTATCAGCCGTAACGCTTTTCGGGTAAACAAACCCCTCCGTGACTGCGACCGTTTGGTCGCACATGGAAGCCGGCCCTCACCGCGGCACTCGCGGTGGGAAAGGGCCGCGTGCCCGTCTATTCAACACTCTGCAGCAGATCGTCGTTGACGAGTACAAACGGCAGAACAGACGATTCCGGTGGGTCAGGTTTGCAGACGCCTCGAAGCAACAGATCGAGGCGCTCTTTTCCTGGCGTGAGTCATTGGATAGTTGGCACCTGTGGGATTTTGACCAAGAGGCCTTCGAAGTGATCCAGGCCGCGGACAACGCTTATCAGCAGCGTCTCGCATCGGTTGAAACCACAGGTGTGGTCTTGCCGCAAGGTGTGCAATCTCAGGATAAAGCCGCAGCCTCTGGCGCGGCGGAAGCAGCGAGCAGTGCAGCGGACTGGCTACGCCCTCCGACGCCTCCTTCAGCTTCATCCTGGCTACAAGATTCGCGCACTCCATTGCCTCGCATCCGACCATCAGCAGAGGAAAGACAAGTGTTGCGGGGCGCCGCCAAGACAGCGCTTCGCGGGGTGTACGCTAGAGCTGCGGAAACGCGGCGGGAGAGCAGCAGGGAACGGTCAACACAAAGATCGAGGTCTCCATCGCCCCGAAGGCCGAGGTCTCCATCGCCTCCGAGACGAGGACCGACTGCTGCTACCCCTGTGGAACATCGGGCACACAGTGTTGAACCCGCGCTTGCGCGGGAGGGCAGGCCATCCAGGACTTCCCTTGCCACACGGCCCATTGTATTGGCTCCACAGAACAGTATATACCCTGTGACACGATTTGACGAGCACGGCACTTGGGTACTCGTTCGGGAGGCTTCACAGCCACGTGAGGCGACATCTCACCGCCGAGCACAGCGGACATCCGGACATCTCCGTCAGGCTGACCCGTATTCGCTTGCGGACGAGACGTGGAGAGATCCCCCAAGAAGATCATCCACAAGCTCGCGATCACGAGCTGGGCGTTCACGCCCTCATTGACGATACAGCTGCGATTGTCCGTGAAGCTCAAAAGACAGGCATCGCGGCGTTCCGCAACTTCCCGCATTTCGGGCCGAGCGGATTTGCCAACGCACTTGAGAACCTTGGGGAGTATATCGAGTCCCGGAATCGACTTTTCATCCCGGCGGCAAGGGGCCTGCATCCATCGCAGTACCTCGAGGAGCTCCACCGATCTGCATCCCAGTTGCCCGCCAACCGGGTACTTCGATAGCCTTTCTTGCAAGCCGTTAAAACCGTCGCTTTGCGCGGTACAGCATCTTTGCAGCTACAGGCATTCGATTTGCAGACAAATTCTCAACACAGCTTGGCAACATCCCTCGATAAAGCACCATAGTGCGGCAGTGCGGATCAATCAATCTACAAGTACAATTACAAATACAGAATTCATCAGGTGCAAAGCAGCAGGGCGTATTTTCTTGAGTGGCTCACTTGAGCGTTTCGCAACCAGCTGCCAATCCAGGGATATCTCCTCGTAGCACCTTTTGACACGCTGCTCAAAGCGCGTGGAGCTAGCTTCGTGTGAGTGCAAAATTGCATCGCTGTGTCATGGCTTCAACGGGCTTATCACCGCCATCAGAACCCCGTTCAAGGTCGACCCCAAATAGGGATTCTGAACCGGATGACCCTGACCTAGCCATGGTTCCTGCAGCTATGTCCACAGTTCGCACATCCACACCTCAACGAGCAGCCCAAACACGACCATCATCACCCCGAGTGGTCCGATCGTGTCAGAACCTACATCATCCGAAGCTTCCCCAGCCATTCAGTTTCCTTCACAGGGATCGCAATTACCTGACCCGATGACTAACGTACCCGCTGCGGCATTTATAGCTGGAGCTGCGGTGCAGCAAGCTCATCGAGCATCCGACCTCGCTGCTCAGGCAGCCAATCACGCCTTGCACCAACAGCAGGCCGCCGACCAGGCGAGACAAGAGGCCGGATGGATCAGGGAAAGGGCTGTAAGAGAAGTATCAGACGTTAGGGTTCAGGCCGCTCAGCTAGCTTCGCAAGCACAGCAGGCTGTACAAACAGCACAACAAAGTGAGGCTCAGGCTAGGCAACTAATCGAGCAGACACGACAGGAAGCCATTGGCCATGTCGAGAACGCACGACAGGTTGTTAATGCCACTCAACAGGACGCTCAGCAAGAGGTTCAACGCATTGTTCAAGAGGCTCAACAGGCAATCTCACAAAGAGAACAAACCATTGCCAGTCAAGAGCATACTATTCGTGGATTGTCCCAGGAAAATTCTGTGATGCATCAACGACTTGGTGATCTCGAACGTGTTGTTGCGCAACTCACCCAACAAGCTCGTGCGACCCCTGTTCCGATGCAAGAGTCCCCGCCAAAAGCCGCATCAATAGCCGAAACAGCTACGGAAACATGCATCAACGACTTGGTGATCGAACGTGTTGTTGCGCACCTCACCCAACAAGCTCGTGCGACCCCTGTTCCGATGCAAGAGTCCCCGCCAAAAGCCGCATCAATAGCCGAAACAGCTACGGAAACAAGCGCGGCTAAAGCCTCAAGTCAGGGCACAGTTCCCCCAGGAACCCATCAGCCGGTTGGAGCACCTCAGGTTTCAGATTCACAAGATGCCTCCGGTGTTGCCGCATCGTCGCAAGGGAATGCTTTTACAAGTACTATCCCCGACCCTCCGTGTGGTTCTGTTCAAAGTTCAGGACTTGGTCACGATGCCCCAGCTGATTCAAGGGACCCTGGTGGGGGTGCAACAAGTCAACATCTCGCAGGCCATTCGGCAGTGCTAGGAGCAGCGTCCTCTGTTGGAGACGCAGCCCCCGGCGCGTCGAGGACTAGCGGGTTGGGTAGAGACGGTACAAGGGATCAAGCCGATGTGAGAGTGCAAGTGACGGCGTTAGCGGAAATGGTTCAGCAGCTTTCCCAATTGGTTGCTAATCAAGTGGCTCCGCCACCTCCGCCTCCGGCCGCACCACCTCCAGCGCCTCCCACGCCCCTCGCAGGGGCGCCGCCTCCGCCAAAAGCTGGCAACGGCACTCGTGTTCCGCCAGTACCAATCACAATGTTGGGAGGGTTGTACTCGTCATCCCCACAAGCGCCATCGGCCGCTAGCTCCGACTCATCATCAGACTCCGATGGAGATGATGATACCCCACAATGTCGAGTTTGCGGCGGTAGCCATGAAGACACGGATTGCCCATACCTCACCATGAATGGTGGTGGGGGAGGCGGGGGAGGCTCTGGCCAGTTCCCCAATGCAGACCCGTCTCAGGCTGCCGATCCCAGTGCAAGCATGACCGCCGTAGATCACGCCGCATACGAGGAGTCCGTTGTCCGCGTCAAGGATCTCAAGGATCTTGTACTACCATCCCCTCCGGAGAACGCTGGTCAGGCTAGAGGTTTCGTCAATCAAGTTTTGATGGCCATCGGTCGACTCCAGAAGACCCCCGGAGATGAAGTGTACCAGTGGGCCCAAGCAATGTCCTCCACCGAGCAAGAACTCATCGCGGCCCACGGTTAGATCGTGAAGTAGCCGCAAAGCTCCTTAAAACCTGCCGCAAAGGTAAGTTCGGGCTCTTGTTTCAAAACATGGTTGAACAAGAGAGAATCTCA